TTTTTTATGACAAATATATATTTTAGTCTGCATCATCTGGTGGTACATTGGCTGGTCGTCGTTTTCTTCGTTCTATTGCTTATCTATGTGCTAAACAAACTATTCATTTACCAATAATTTTAACAACAAATGATCATTACGATAGTCCATCAACAGGACTACGAAAAGCAACGTCATCTCGTCTTTTAAGGTATTTATTTATTTTTCTCTCTAAGAAATACTTTCTTTTTTATAATACAGAAGTCCATTAACACCAATACCAATTGTTATTGAAAAAATCGTAGAAATACCTATTGAAGAAAAATCAATTGATATTCCTGCGGAATCTGTATTTATGTGGAAAAAGAAAACTAAAGAGAATGATATAAAAAAGGATATCGTACCTACGAAAAAAAATAAATTTGAACGACGGTAAATATAAAGAAAAATAGATTATTATTAACATATATCATTCTCTTGAATATTTAGTAAATCACAACGATGTCTTGATTTATCAGCAATTGAAGAAAAAAGTTTTGATTCAGGTTCTCAAACAAGTCATTCAATAGATTCAAATGAAAACATCTCATCTGGTTCAATACGTCAACCACTAGGTGAAATTCATATGAATTCATTTGAAATTGAACAACGGCAACAAATCGATAATGATAAAAATTCCAATCCAATACCATTTTCATTAATTAGTGAAGGTGATAAAGAGAATTTATCATTAATGAATAATAAACGAACAACAACAACATCAACAAATGCTGAAGAACCACGTAAAAAACAAAAGAAAACAAATACAAATGTTTTAGTAGTTGGTCAGAAAATGATTACGACTTTTTTTCGTTCAAAAAGTTAATTTTGCTTTACTATTGTATATGTAATATACTATTGTATATGTAATATATATATATATGTCAGATACTAATATTTAGATAATTTTCGCAATTAAATATATAAATATAAATAGAGAATTTATTCTATTGAACTATTTTTCTGTACTAATAAATTTGTTTGTTTTTTTTTGTAAATCTGTTTTGATGTAATGATTGTTATGCTTAAAGAAAATAAAAGATTAGTTAAATTTGTGTATATCTAAAAAGAAACAATGAATTTATATAATTGCTTACGTAATCTTATACGAAATTAAGTTTATCTTGAATGTTATGTTTTTAGCCAATTTACGCTGTCTGAAACTAATTTTATTCTTATTTTCATTGATTGATTAGTGTTTATCCAGCGGGTGGGCGCTATCCACTTGAAAAAATACAGTAGCTATATGAACGTCGCCCATCCGAAAAACGAAACCTGGATAAAAAACTGATTGATTGTGTTTTTTCTTGGAAAATAAGCTCATGTCTTATTATCCTTGTTTACATGTATAACAATTGAATCATAAATGAAGTGTACTCATTCTTATAGGTGCATAAAACATGTTCTCGTTAGAGAGGTTGCTATAGCAAGATATCATAACTAATAAGAATATTTAAAGTGTGCCGTTTACGAAGGGATAAGTACAAATATCGAAGATGTTAAAGTTCTGCGGTTCTTAATAAAGAAAAAAAAACATAATATTTATAATGCACCACAATATCTGTGCGCTTTATTATTATTAATTACTGCTCGTGTCCTAAATCTATCTACTTGTAATACGATGATTGAATACTTTGAAAATATACTGGCAAAAATTAGCCCAATAGTAGAAAAACATTTATATCGAAGTTTTTATTATTATTATACTTTGGATTGTATCAAATTGTAACTAGTTTACTGCAATATTCGATAACTTCTCTAACGCATTAAACTTGATAAGATAAATTTTTGGTTTTTAAAAAGTGGCGCCATCGTTCGTCCTAACTCAATATTAGATATAAATTTTATAGCAAATTATTGTATATAATAATGATTAAAAGATAGTCTTAATATCATTCTATCATTGTTCTTTATCATTTTCTCAATCTCTTCGATCTCTCTTTTCTAATTGGTTCCTTACTGATTTCTATTCTTTGTTGAAAACAGTTAGATTAACAATCACTTAACAGTTTATTTCGTTTGTTCGTTCGACATACACATATATGCGTATTTATATATATATATATAGATTGTACTATGTTATTTTAGATTGATCTAAAAGAAAAATGCCGCCTCAATTTAATATCGATGACTTCGAACGATTGAGTAAAGTTGGAGAAGGTATACTTAAGAAAGAAAAAAAAAATCATTGATAATTATCTTAATTAAAATTATTATTAGGTACTTACGGCATTGTATATAAAGTGTGTCATCGACCAACATCACAAATATATGCATTAAAAAAGATTCGATTAGAAGGTGAAGATGATGGTGTACCGGCAACAGCTATTCGCGAAATATCAATTTTAAAAGAACTTCGACATCCAAGTATTGTTCAGTAAGTTTGAAAACAAAATATCATTGAAGAAAAATAAAAATCATTATTATTTAGACTTCGTGATGTTATTCTCACAGATGCTCGTCTTTATTTAATATTTGAATATTTAGCAATGGATTTAAAAAAATATTTTGATTGCTTAGGCGAAAATGAAGATATGGACAGTGCATTAATTCGAGTATATTTTTAAATGAAATATTAATAATTTAATAGATAAATTTATCTTTAGAGTTATACATATCAAATAATTGATGCATTACTTTTTTGTCATTGCCGTCGTATAATTCATCGTGATTTAAAGTAAAGAACTAAGCCAAATGTTTCATATTACTATAGTTAAAATCTTTTTGTTTATTTTTAGACCACAAAATCTTCTTGTAGACACAAAAGGAATTATTAAATTGGCTGATTTTGGTTTAGCCAGAGCATTTAGTGTACCACTTCGAATATATACACATGAAGTTAGAAGATTTTTATTGATAAATTTTTATTGATCAAATTTTTTTAGGTTGTTACTTTATGGTATCGAGCACCTGAAGTTTTACTTGGTGCTTCACGTTATTCATGTCCAGGTATGTATTTAAAATACATAAGTTTTATCTGCATATGATATTTTTAGTTGATGTTTGGTCTGTTGGTTGTATATTTGCTGAAATGTATACAAAAAGACCATTGTTTCAAGGTGATTCTGAAATTGATCAACTCTTTCGTATATTTCGGTAAAAGAAATAATTTTTTTTTGCTTAATAAAAATCTAAATTCTATTATTAATCTCTCTAGTACACTCGGTACGCCAACCGATGAATCATGGCCAGGTGTAGTTTCACTACCTGAATTTAAATCTTCATTTCCACGTTGGAAACAAAGCAGTGATTTATCATCATTACTTAACGATCGAATGCGTGATGATGCTCTTGATTTACTTCTTGTTTGTTAAAAAAAACTTACATTAAATTTATTTGACTTTGTTTTTTTTATAGAAAATGCTTGTCTATGACCCCGTACGACGTATATCTGCTAAACAATGTCTTACTCATCCTTATTTTAAACATTTTGATCCACAAAATTTTCCCATTCCAGCACCAATCGTTGTACCTGTTGTTAAAGAAGGTGGCAAGTAATATAATCAATGTGTTAATTATCATGTCAGATATATATATATATTTTTTCCTTTCGTTCTTTTTCCTATTTGATGTGTTCAATATTTCTCTTTCATACAAAAATGACAAATCTATATTCTTCAATTTTCTTTTTCTTTTTTTTTTGTCACGCGTACGTATAACGTGAAAAATAATGAATCTGT